GCATAAAGTAGATTATTTTCATCTTCATCATCTTCTTTTCGTGGCCTCTGACTTCTTCTTCCTCTTTAATATGGGTAACAGTAGAAAATTAGAGCTTTCACTATGTTGGGGGGGAGATTAATTCTTAAGGTGGAGTATTATTGTCCTTTCATGTATTTTTAAATACTGTTAGCTAAATTTAAACAGTTACCAACTCAGGGTATTTTTTTTATTATGTTTTGTAACTTAGGGTATATAACTACTACAAGAGCAAAACAATAGGGTATATAAGTGCCATTTAGTCATGTTTAAATTACTAAAAAATATTCTAAAATTTAGAGATTTCAAAACTTATAAACAACATAGATGGATTCCAGGGATTACCACTAGGCACATAGAAATTTAAAATTAGTAAAAAACAATAACCTCAAAGGTACAAAAAATACAAAAACTCTCTCAAAAGTAAAAAAATATTAAAAAAAACTCTAAAATTTTAAAACTTATAACTGGTACATATCAATTTTAGAAATTATCAGGAGATTGCTAAAATTTTAAAATTTTTAAAAAACAACCCAAAATTTTAGTAATTATAAAAATACCTTCAAATTTTCAAAGTTACGAGAAATATTCTAATATTTAAAAACTTATCACCAATACATGAAACATGAAAATTATAAGCACCCAACTTAAAATTTAAAATTTTTATAAAATACTATCAAAGTTTAAAATTTTTAAAACACACCCTCAAAAGTTTAAATCACAAAAGGCTAAAATTTGGCAAAGAAAAAAGGAAATGTTTGATATTATTACATTAAGATATAATAGGTTAGCAATAATTGATTATAATGTATAAACATTTATCTCTAATGTTGATAATATTTATTTATAAAGTAAAAAAATACAAGGAGTTACGTATGGAGAAACTATCAGAAAGTTCAGAGATCCTTTAAAAGAACTAAGTTGTTTTTATTTCAAATGGAGAAGTGAATGAAATAAACTCAAAATTCAGAAACATTCATGAATCACCTGAATTGACATATGGAGAAGTGAATGAAATAAACTCAAAATTCAGAAACATTCATGAATCACCTGAATTGACATTGATAAAAAGCATATCGAGCAAAGAAGCACTAACCGAGTTCTTCTTGAAGAACATATTGAACAATTATGTCCTGATTAAAAAAACATTATTCATGAAAAGTACAGGAAAAATTATTAAGTACTTATAAATTTTCATACTTTATTCTGAAAATACTGAAGGAATCATAAACTTAATATAAAATTTTATATAAATAATCTTGTAATAGAAACTAAAGTGAAGTCATTGATCAACTACATTGTGAGATATAATAAACTAGATAAGATGAGAAAAATCACTATAATGGACAAAAAAATATGCACTAGATACTTAGTTACCATAGTGTAAGTAAAAAAATTAAAATTGATATGTTTCTTTTCTCTATATAGTTGCACTACTCTGCAAGTATCCT